TCACATTTAAGTGCCTAGAACATACCCAGTTCAATCCCACGCAACGTGTTCGCAATGTTCGCGAAATTCAACTCGTGGCGTGAAAGTCCTTCACGGATAGTGTAGAATGTTGCGGTTGGCCGTCGAAGACGTAGTTTTGAACCTCGCTACTCCACCACAGGCTCCTGAATGCTGTAATGGCTGCGTTGACTGCCGGATGGAGTTCTGCAGATCATACAGAAGTGGTTGTGTTGTTGCTAAGTAAACCCGAGGCTCTAGCCTTGCTAGGCATACTACGCACATTCAGGTAGTCAGAAAAGATTGCCTGCGGCAACAGCAGAAGCTGTGGTGAATCATCCACGCAGATCAGGAGCGTAAGGTTCCCTGGTGCTGTGCAACGGGTTTGCAACTGATTGACGGAAACTGGTTGTCGACCTCTATTCTTCTCCACTTTCGTCCAGTAAGCAAATCGTTGATCCACTGGTGTGGCGAACTATCATCGCTGCACACACGTAGCCTGTAGGGCAGGATTCCATTCTTCATCTTGTCGAACACTATTGAAGTCTACGCACATCAGGTCGATAGACGTTCACTGGTTTATTGCCTGCAACGATACATGCACCGTCAACGGCATGCTGATAGTGTAGAAACGACCTGGCATGAGGCCGTACTATGGAGAAGTGAGAACAATGGAGCAATGTTTTTATATGGGTGATAATGGTAATCCTTAACCGGTCCCTTGATATAGCTATGGTGAAATATCAACATATAAAAACGCTTGATCAGCAAAATTGATTCACACCGCTGCACTCACTGAGGTATACGCGACGTAAGTTGTAAATCCCTAAGGAATGACGGCAAATGCGTTGTTGATAACAGCTTATTTCCTCCAGGTGTACACCTATAGGAAGCGGAAAAGTGGAACGAAATCTGGTATTTGACCGCCAGTGAAATCGCTTACAGACACTTGTGTTTATCCAAGAGTAATGAATGATTCATGAAGGAAGATTCTCATGCTCCTGTCGTCGGGCTCGCGGATATCATAAGGTTGTCGCTTTTTCATATCATGCGGCTCCAGCTTGATATGTGGCATTTGTACATTTGTGTTGCAGTGCATATGCGTCGTCTTCGTGTTCTCACGCTCCTCTGTCGATGCTGGTTTAGAGTGCACAAATTTGAGCAACTAGTGAGTATTATGTCTAACACGGAAACGTTTACCAAATCTGTGGTGTTGAGATTTGATGAGCATCTTGAGTGCTAGACACCGGGCAAAAACTGTCTCACAGCGAATTTAGGGGACCTTAGAGGGAATAATGAGAGCGGTATCTGGTTCTTGGAAGCACACAGGTAAGCTGTTACGCCAGCTATTTCTGTGGCGGTTTGTAGTCAGTTCAATTGGATAACTATGTTTCGGACACTTAAGTAATGTGGATCCGCTTAGTTCGGGTCGCGTCGCCAACGTAGCCGCATGTAACGCTAGTACGAACATAAGCTGAGTACGAACAGAACACAAAGGAAATGGTTAACAAGACGGTGTGCAAAACTAATTAGGATAGAATAACCAGCTGGCTTCAAGAAAGCGAATGTAAGAGCGCCGCTAGTGGTGAGCCCCGAGTAGATACTACTGCGCTCGTATTCAGTATAGAAGTGCACTAAGCGACTCAGATTATCTCGGGCAAATAACGGACCAAACGGATGTCATTCCCAAGCAAAGCGGTTGTTTGCCTCAGGTGGGTGTGCGCCTGGAAGGAATGCGGTGCGCTTGACAAGGCTTCAAACGATAACGCAGTCACCAGGAAGTCGTTTGCAGGATGAGTGTAACCGTGTTGGCCATACAAAATGCACATGAATGATCGTGACATAATAAGCAATTCGGGTCGCACATCTTAAGTGCTTACAATTGGTGCCGTGACCAACTTAAGATGCCTTTGAAGCTTCCCCGGCCAGAGCCGTTTGAAGGAAAGGAAGTCCAGAGGTGGCTGGAGTGCCTCGAATAAGTAACGTAGGCGGTCGGAGTGAAGGAGGTTTGGGGGAAATTAGTAGCCTTATGGAGTCGCTTTAAGCACCTGGAGAAGGCAGCGCGAAGAAATCCTGTCAAGTTGAAATGGGCCGCTGCGAAGCAGGCGTTGATCACCGAAATCGATGGCAGGGACATCTACTAGCATGCATGCGGCTGTTAAAGTCTTGTCTTCACGGCCTACATCCAGGATTGCCCGGATTAGAGTAAGTGTCGAGACAACAGCTATCGGTTGAGCAGTTACTGGGTAGACTTTTCCAATCGATCGCACAACTAGTCGGGGTTGTGAACGCCACAAGAAGGGTTCGCGTGCATGAACCTGCCGAGATGGTCCTTGAGCTAGGCGATGCACTAATCGCGGCTTTGAAAGAGAAACATCAATGAGCTGAAGGACGTTTGGAGCGGTTCACGTAAGACGTCGGTGCACTACTTGTTCAGCGCTCGGAGAAGCGTACACGAGTATGTTGCTTCCCTTGCAGAAAGTCTGAAATACCGGAAGTGACGATGCTCAGCAGCGCGCGTGGGGCCGCCGATTCAACGTACACGCGTTCGATCTTTTTTCTCGGGTCGATTGATGCCTACTAAGGGCGATGGTGGGAATGGACCAGAAAAGTTAAAATTATTTGATTGCTACGGGTGCCGCAGTTTCCCTCACAACTAATCGTAGTGGCGAAAAGCCAATCGTACTCTGTAGTCGTGATGGCTGTTGGGGTTATACAGTGTGCAAACATAGTGTGGCAGAACATATCGTGTGAATCGGAAGACGTATCCATCGTGTCGCTAGCCGTAGGACCGAGAACCTTGGGGGCGAATTTGCTTGATTCTAATAGACTATTGTCAACTTGTAAGGGGGAAGCTATTGACTGAAAACGGATTTTTACCGCTCATTGATCTTGGAGGAATTGACCCCGTGCACTCGGTTTTAGTGATTTTGCACGCGAACCCGGTCTCGCAGCAGGTCACCAGAAATTGTCACTTGTTTACAGCCCGCGGAAGTCCGCATGGGTTTTGTGACTGGATGGGACACTTAATTACACAGCAAAGATTAGGGTTTAAGATACGGTTAGGTCCACTTACAGCTTCATCTGGAGGCTGAGGTGAAGAGCAGATGCAGGCGATGTTTGGATGAGGGTGTGATCGAAGTGGCATAGAGCTCATACAATTCTCCACACGTTTTGATAATTGAAACCAGCGGAGAATACTGCTACCGCGTCGAATTCAGAAGGTTGAATGAAATTTCGTTGAATCGATTCGGCCCGGTGCCATAAGACGCAGACACCGACAAACTGCATTACTTAACTATATTTTCGGTACTGAACCTGAGATCTTGCCATCGACAGCTAGCAATCAAACTTAAAGGTCGAGAGAAAGATATGTTTACAGTTGACGAGAAGCAGGAGCAAGTTATGAGGATGCGGTTTGGCTTCTCTCGTGCCCCATTCACCTTGAAGGCAATGAACGCTGTGCCGACTACATGGTTTACATAAGGTGACTATGTATGTAAATGACATCGTGATATATACTCGAATTTAAATTGTTCATTGCCTTCATCTGGACTCAAAATTATAACAAATTCGGCACTCATGATTGCGGATAAATGTTGTGTTTTTTATCAAGGGCTACTGGCTGCCTGGTGTGCACACGGTGTAGCCGTGTACTTAACGTGCCTAGATAACGGATAAATTCCCCTTCACCCTTGTTCTGTCCTCTTTTGTGAGACATCACACCTCGTGCGTGGTCCGATCCGATTCATACTGAACGTGGAGTTCCACAAGTGCTAGGGCCGCGTCGGTTTCACGTGTTCACTACCGAGCTTACAACTTTGATCGCTTTGGGTTTCTTAATTTTTGTTGCTGATGCTAAACAATTTGCGGGAGATCACCCACAAGTATATCACGATGAACTTCCATGTGACCTGGACATTGCGTATAAATGGTCATTGCACAATCTGCTCGAGTTTAATTCACCCAATTTTAAGGTAATCCACATTTGGCATTAGCGGAACATCAAATACATGATTGGAGGTCATGTCCTGCATGCAGTCAGTCAGGAGCACGATCTTGGGCTACTAATTCAGACTGATCTGGGTTGCTCAGTATAAGAGAGGGTCAAAGACTGGGAACCAATACGTTGGTATGCTGCGGAGTACATTCGGGCAGTTTGATCCGTCTGTCTGTTTGTGATTGCTGAACGCATACGTGCGGCCTCATGTGGATTACCCAATCCAGGCGTAGCAGCTACGGATTAAGCAACACGTTGCAGCTCTCGCGACTGAAAAACGGGGAGGCACCAAGCACGTCCAAGAATTGTTTCATGGTCCATACCAACTTATACTAAGTACTCCAAGGGTATACAGCGGTAAGTATCGGCGCCTACATGACGACCTAATAATGCCCTACCAGATTCTGAGCAACCCCCACGACGTCTGACGCTTCCTACTGCAACTTAGCAACTATACGAACCTGAGGCACTACCACGTCAAGTTGGCAAGGCAATATAGTCTGCTAAGATGTCACCGAAATATTTGTTCTCTCTTTGTGTGGTAGCCTCAGAAGGATGTCTTCAATTGGCTTGTTTTTGGCCCCACTTATCAGTCGTTGAAATACGCATTGACGTTCCCCTAATCCACCTACACTACCAGATATGGCTAGTGTACATCTACAGACGGTATAACGTGGCAAACGGAGCATAAATCAGCATTGCCCTAAACAACCGATACAGGCCCTATTACGCGTGTCTCACTGGCAAAACACTATGGTGAATCCACTAAGAGGCTTTTCATTGTGTCACTGTAGTTACTTTTCACCACTTTCTGGTTCTCATTCTGCTCATCTTACCTGACTTGGCAACCACTTAATATTTTACCCGTAATACATCATTGTTCTACGGACCAGAAACGAACAGTATAGAAGTCGATTAATGCTAGTGAAAATGGCTAGTTATAGTGTAGCTCGATACTACAGTTGTTCAGCTACTGTTTGTGTCGGGCCACTTTGATTGTGTCATGCATGATAAGCATCACCATTTCCATTTCAGCCTTTCAAACATTGCAGCTGAGGTGGACTTGGTTGCAGCCGAACCGGGTTGGGGAAATTGGTATTTCTGTGATGATTTAGACGCTGCATGCCTCTCCCTCCCCGCCATCACTCACCGGCTCTCCAGGTCTGCGGAAGACAATGAACCGGATCAAACGCCCTGTCCTGATGAAGAGGATAAGGTATTTTATGACGTGGAAGACGGAAATGAGCTCGAGGATAGAGCGAATGGCTCCCTCATGAAGCTGTTGTCCTGCAATAAGCGTCGGCAGTCCCTCTCAACCCGTCAGCTCCAAGACTTTGCGAAATGACTGGAGCGGGATGGTCAGTTCTTCGCTTAAGAACGCCGCGTCTACATTTGATTCGCCGTCTGCAACTGAAAATTTGGCCAAAGGAAGTTTTGTTCCCGTGGCTTCTGGTGGGGAGGATTCGAGATCACAGCACATAACTCATGATTCCAAACTAAGTAGCAAGTGCTTCCGCTACCGAATGTACGGATTATGCGAGGATGGATATGTTCGCAAAGCGCAGTAGTCACTGTGCGGATAGCTTTTATTTTTATATGGGTGAATACCCTTGTATGCTTGGCGCGTACATAGACACTTGTAAAGTATTATTATTATTATTATTAACAGTAGTAGTAGTAGAGGCAGTAATAGTAGAGGTAATAGTAGTAGTAGTAGTAGTAGTAGTAGTAGTTTTGTTGTTGTTGTTGTTGTTGTAGCAGTAGTGGCAACCATAGCACCGGTATAGTTAGTAGTGGTAATAATAGGGGTATGGTACTTTTTCCTTTCGACGTAGCAGTTGTGCATAGCCCCAAGATATGGAGGCTGATTCGAAGTGTGTGTGAGAGGCGGGCTTGGTTAGCATTGTTCAATCAGTTCAGGCATTGTGGTTTAACAGTACACCAAGCGTGGATGAGTAAGCTTTAAAATGGAATAACAATTATGGGACACAGCATTGAGTGTGCTTGAAGCTGAATTGTTAAGGTTCACCTTGCCAGCTGGCATGCTTACACTTGGCACTGCAAGTGAATCAAAGCCGGCGAAGTAGAACCGTAAAAATTCTAAGATTTTTGGGTGCGTTATACATTTTCTATCAATCTCTGTACGGGAATGTTTCATTTCCAGTGACCCCACGGAATGTCGGTACGGCTGTTTTGCATTCCCGACTAATTAGCTACCCAGATCGGAAGACCGAGACCTTGGTGAACGAATTCCTTTTATCCCGAAAATACACCGTCACGCGTACACTCTGATTGCACATTCCAACAAAAGATTTATTTGAGGTTTTCCATGCTACCGGAGGCCGGAGAACAGCTCTCGTCGACTAAATCTGAGCCACAATAACTATTATTAGCTACCTCTAAAAATTACTGTCATTGGTTGGCCGCACTATATTTTTGGCTCCTGCGATTATGGCCAGTTCGCATGGACTGTGTTCATCGGATTTCTGGCCGCAGGTTGTTGTTTGCTTGGTTCACCCAGCCGCGTCGACAGAAAGAACTCGCAACGATTCTGCACACGAACGCTCTTTTCACAAATCTGAAGTAAAGTACAACTATCTGTGTATTTAAAACTCACTCGCCCACTCGAGCGATCGCCTTTTCGACCGCACTGAGGCAGACGAGTCCCCCGGCTCAGCTTTCCGTCACCAACACCCAGGTGTCGTGACGGTTACGAAGTTCAATGCATATCTTGTCGCATATTTGACGATGTACAATAACGCCTTCATTTTCTTTAGCCCTCTGTATTTTGCTTTCACAAACTCTAGTGCGATGTCCACATCCGATAACGTTTGGCAGAACATTGGCAAGTTTTCATCTGGTCTCCACATCAATTCCTTCCGTGCGTCGTGCTCTTCTGCTCCACATCCTAGCCTAGATGCTCACTCGCGATGATATTCCTCGCGGGTAAGAGATATTATTTGTTATATTGTACGTCTTATCAGCTGCATCATTTACACATGTGACACTGTCACTCTTCATCCTTACCACTTCACCCATTTCTCAGCTATTGGACGTTGCGCTCCTCCGGATCTTACTCGTCGCCAAATTGATTTATCACCCCTAGCGTCTAGGCGATATCGTGATGACTTTCGTTTGATATCTCCACCACATTCCACTTCAACAAAGCAGTCTGGGTCTAGTTCTTCTGAGAAACAACTTCCATCACGGGTCTCTGGACGGCAGACTTCTTTTGAGCTCAAACAGTAGGGGCATCGTAACGATCGTTCCCGGTCACCGAGCCATACTGCGTCATCCATTCGACCGAACCCGTCTTTTCGCGCTTACGACTCAAGAGTTCCGGAGTTTAGCCCACTGGATCGTAAGGCGATATGCTGTGCTCGTTCAGAGCGTCGGAGCCCACCGTACTCCTGCTATATTTCAATCACTCGGCGGCCACCTCCAATTCGTACTGACTCATGCCGTGATAGTCGGCTTGGTGGAAGTAGTCCCCTCTCCCCTCCAAACAGTTTCGGTCGGCTCGCAATGAGTCATCGTGTAGCGAAAACGACACGACAGGGGGGTAGACATTTATTGCACACCGAAAATGGGCACATTCGGGTCTCGCGCGCGCCATCGAATATCGACTAAATTTCCGTGCAACACCACGCGACACTAGTACGGATGTTAGAGACGAGCCAGTCCTTTCGCCTCGTGAGCTCTGACTTGGAAGACCCGACTTCCTGTTTTCGCCTCGATCTCCACTTCGCTGTACCCGATTTGGATCGGCCGGGAGTCGTTCGAGAGCTCTCGACTTGCTTATTCTGGGCTGTGTCAATCGGCTCAGCCTCGGTAATGTGGGCTGCGCTAGCTGCGTATATGTCTGATTTATTGCGCTGTCCACATATTCCCGCTCCGTAGTTCCGGGCCCAGGCTCGTCGCTAGCCGTCCTTCTCGATCCGCTCTCAGCTAGCTCCGAAGAGCTCCCCCGAGGCATTCTTGGGAGCGGCCGCTCTACAATCGGCATCACGGATCCATGCGGCCGAAAATGGGGAAGGGGCGGTTTACAGCGTACACACTTCTGAGGCCATCCCGGCATTTGTGATCGACCATGTGGTGACACATTGTCTATTCATTTCCCTCTGTTATTCAGTTCAGCTTGGTTACCTCTACTAATCGGCTAGCACGTTTTTCTGCTCCGCCGGCTTCTGACTTGTCTCATTTGCACTTAGTCCATCACACACAAACCCTTCTCCCGGTCTGAGTAACCCTGTCATCAGGCCCCAGAAAATCGATCAAGGTATTTCCGTAAGCGGATATTAGACGCCGCAGAAGCCATTGCTATTCGGCTGTACGAACCAGCACTGTGCACACAGAAACGGTTCACTCACGTGTTGAGCCTACCTTGGCCAGGACGGACTGCAGTTGACCAGTACGCACGCACGACTACAACTGTAACGTAACCGAAGGTGTGTCACAGCGCACTAAGATCAATTTGGTTGACTGACGACCCTTTGGGTCTGTATACAAAAAGTTTGTATTTCATGTAATTGTACAAGCCTGATGAAGAATTGCCGAAAACATATGTTCGCTTACACAGACTTCTGTTCGATCAATGGGTTTTTTCCATTCAATTATCTCTCTTTTCTTTCCATGGTTGGTCACGAGAAAACCGATCTCCTGAGGTGATAGATTGAGGTTTCCACGCTAAATAATTATATCCAAGCAAGGCGAATTGGCACAAACCCACTGTGGAGAAAATATGGAGCTGGACTCAAAAACGAGTTTAACTTTTGATGGCTTATTACATATAATGGCGGCCATACAAAAGAAGCTGATTATGTCCTATTGCTTATAAGGGCGCCCAAAAAGAGCTTGATCCACATAATAACGGCTTACTTGCTTTAATTCCACACCAGCTCGTGGTCAGGTGATGCGTGAAAGTGCGGACGAAACTTATTGAGGGATTATCCGGCATGGAAACAGGTTGCCAGGAGACGGTTCCACGGATGATCGTATTTGTTTACTTTAACTGCTGGTCATACCCACATTTATTCCTACCGTCTACTTTCCACAGTTCTATTACTTTTAAGCAATTGAGCAAGGCAAAGTTTCTCTTGGAACTATACTGTGAAATGCAAAAAATGTTCTCTATCATCTGAGTATACTGTACCTAATGAGCACACAACCCATTAGGTCTGTGTCCCGCAACGCTGAGATATACAAATAATTTATTTGTTTACTTTACATCCAAGACGAATGAAGAGTGTTAGGAAGGAATACGCGAGTTGAACAAGCCAGGACCCCATCGCCGCGACCGGCGATCCAAACTCATTAGCCCTGATTGGGGCGAGCAGAAAGCCAACCAGGAGAAACGGCCAATGAACGCTGGGTCGAAGTTCTTTTATTAGCTGTAAGTTAACCTTTCCAGAACTTTCCACGGCCGCCTTATATACCATCAGCTGTAGTATCCACCACGACTATAACTAGCCAATATTTTCAATGGTGTTAGTCGACTTCTATACCGTTGGTTTCTGGTACGTAGAACAACGGGTAAAAATCAATTGCTTGACAAGTCCCTTGAGATAGCCAGCATGAGAACCAGAAACTGGTGAAAAGTAACCATGGTGATACAATGAAAGCGTCTTAGTGGAGTCACCGCAGTGTTTGCCATTAAGGCATGCGTAAAAGCGCCTTGTCGGTTGTTTAGAGCAATGCTGGTTTATGCTCTGTTTGCCATGTTATATCGCCTGTCCATGTACACTGGCTGCATCTCGTAACGTAGGTGGATAAGGGCAATCTTAAAACGTTTTCCGAAGAAAGATAAAGTAGGGGGGAAACGAGGTAATTAAAGACGACGGAGAGAGAAAAGGTTTCAGGGACATCGTAGCCGACTGTATTGCGTTGCGAAATTGAAATCGTGTCCCCTCAGGTTGGTATAGTTGCGTAGTTGCAGCAGGTGGCGTCAAACATGGTGCGGGTTGCTTAGAATGTTGTAGGGGCATTATTCGGTCGCCAAGTAGGTGCTGATACTGACCACTGTATACCCTTAGAGTTCTTAGCAGAAGTTGGTATGGACGGTGATGCAATTCTTTGACGTGCTTGGAGTCTCCTCGTTGTGTAGTCTCGAGCGCTGCAAAATCTTTCTTAAACTAAGTCTGCTAGGCCTACATTGGGCAATCCACATGCGGCCGCACGTATGCTTTCAGAAATTACGAACAGACAGACGGATCAAACAGCCCGAATGTACTCCGCATTCCCAATCATTGACCCCATCTTATGCTGACCAACCGATATGAGTCTGGATTAGTAAACCAAGATCACCCTGCTGACTGAATACGTGCAGTACATGATCTCCGAGCACATATTTGATGTCCGGCTGATGCCTAACTTGGATTACCTTAAAATTGGGTGAATTAAACTCGAGCAGATTGTGCAATGACCATTCATATACAATGTCTAAGTCACATTGAAGTGCATCCTGATCTCCTTGCTAGGTGATCACCCGAGTTGTTTTACATCATCAACAAAAACTAAGAAACCCAAAACGATCAAAGATGTAAGCTCGGTAGTGAACACGTAAAACCGACGCGGAACTAGCACTTGTGAAACTCCACGTTCAGTATGAATCGGATCGGACCAAGCACGAAGTGTGATGTCTCACAACAGAGGACAGAACACGGGAGGACGGGAATTTATCCGTTACGTAGGCATGTCAAGCACACGGCTACACTGTGTACACACGGGCACGTCATGGTCCGTTTGGTTGCACACACTTTTATTCACCCTTCAGACAGCCAGTGGTTAGTGATAAACAAGCACAACATTTATCCGCAATCATGAGTGCTGAATTTGTTATAACTTCGCCTCCAGATGAAGGCAGTGAACAATTTAAACTCGAGTATATATCACGATATCACTTACATACATAGCCACATTATCTATGCCAGCTAGTAGGCGCAGCGTTCAATGCCTTCAAAGTGAATGGGGCATGAGAGAAGCCAAACCGCCTCCTTTTAAATTGATACCACTTCTCGTCAAATCAGATCTCAGGTTCAGTACCGAAAATATAGTTAAGCGATGCAGTTGGTCGGTGTCTGCGTTTGATGGCACCGGAACGAAACTATTCAAGGAAATTTCATTCAACCCTCTGAATTCGACGCGGTAGCATTATTTCACGCTGATTTCATTTAGCAAACCGTGTAGAGAATTGTATGAGCGCTACGCCACTTCGATCACACCCTCATCCAAACATCGCCTGCATCTGCTCTTCACCTCAACCTCCAGATGAAGTTGTAAGTGGACCTAAACGTATCTTAAACCCTGGGTCAATTCCTCCAAGGCAAATGAGCGGTAAAGGTCCGTTTTCAGTTAGTAGTTTTCCTGTTACAAGTTGACAATGGTCTATTTGAATCAAGGAAATTCGCCCCCAAGTTTCTCTGTCCAACTTCTGGCCACACGATGAACACGTCTTCCGATGCCCACGATATGTTCTGCCACACTATGTATACAAACTGTATAACCCCCAACAGACATCACGACTAAAGAACACCATTGGCTTCTTGCCACTACGATTAGATATGAGGGAAACCGTGGCACCCGTATCAATCAAACAGCTTTAAATGTTCTAGTCATTTCTCACCATCGCCCTTAGTAGGCATCCATCGACCCGAGAAAAATGATCGAGCTCGTGCAATTTGTATAGGCGGCGCCTCGCGCCTTGCTGGGCATCGTCGCTTCCGGTATTTCAGACTTTCTGCAAGGGAAGCAACATACTCGTGTACGCTTCTCCGAGCGCTGAACACGTAGTGCACCGACGACTTACGTGAACCGCTCCAAACGTCCTTCACCTTATTGATGTTTCTCCCTCAAAGCCGCGATGAGTGCGTCGCCTAGCTCACGGACCACCTGGACAGATTCATGTACGAGAAACCTTCGTGTGGCATTCACAATCCGGACTAGTTGTGCGATCGATTGGAAAAGTCTACCCAGTAACTGCACAACCGATAGCTGTTGTCTCGACACTTCCTCTAATTCAGGCAGTCCTGGATGTAGGCCGTGCAGACAAGACTTTAACAGCCGCATTGCATATTGGCAGTTGACCCGGCCATCGAATCCGGTGATCAACACCTGCTTCACAGCAGCCCATTTCAACTTGACAGGATTCCTTCGCGCTGCCTTCTGCAGGTGGTTAAAGGGACTCCATAAGGCTACTAATTTCCTCCAAACCTCCTTCACTCCGACCGCCTATGTTACATATTCGAGGCACA